TGGAATTACTCGCTAGCACTCGCTAGCACACTCGCCTGGCGAACCTTCGCCGCACTCATTCGCCTGGCGAACTTGCCAGCGAAGACAGGGTGTTTGTTACTGACTTGGTTCGCTGCTGCTCGCTGTCATTCGCCTGGCGAAGCTTCGCTGCCATTCGCCTGGCGAACCTGCGAACTCAGAACTTCCATGGATGTCCAAAAGCCCAAACCTCACAAACCGACCGATTTAATCCAAATCAGTTCCAGTAGCACAACCCACTCATCACCCGACTATACTACACTGTCTATTCCAAATTCTAACCGATAAAACTCAGTTTCTACCGATTAAACTCATTTCGACCTAAAATGGAAAATGTAGGAAACCCCCAACAAATCCAAACACACACATACATAATCATACACATTGATTAAGATAGTAAGATTTCACACCCTTACCTCGATTAGTCGGAAGCTAAAAGTCGTTCTTGAGCTTTCTAAGCTTTTCCTTCTTTTTCCTTCTACTTTCTCTTCTTCCTCCACTTTTCTTTCATGTTTTCTATTTTTACATTTTCGTTCCGCTCCCCCTTCATATATCCTTTCCTTCGGTTTCTCTCCAATTTATTCCCTCTCTCAAAACATCTATCAATTCATTTAAACAATCATCTAATCATTCAAATAATTAGAATAATCCAAATAAACCAATTAATTAACACTAATAATTAATTATTGAAAATTGGGCTGTTACAACTACAGACACCAAAGATAAAAACGGTGACTGCCACTCCAAAAACCTTGTGGGTTCCTCGACCATAACTTTTACCATTCAATAACTTGTTGAAAGGTGAGCGCTTGTGCCAAATTAGCTGAGCATAAGACTGGAGAACATCAAGGAGAATGGGTGGGTACAAATAAATTTTGAGCCAAAAATCTTTTTTCTCAAACCATGAACCAGACCACGATTCAACCCTCTAAAGTCCTAATTGAAGCAAAGTTTATTCTAAAGGCATATTTCAACAAGATAGTTTTTTTGACTCCCATGAATTATGCTAAAAGACTTTGTTGGTATTGCATGTGCATGATGTCATTCATCCAAAAATCAGTGTCGCATTTGAAATAATGACATGTTCATAAAATTTGGCGATATCATTATAACAAAAACTTCAAGAATAAAGTGTGTGTAGTATTAGAGTTATCATTCTCAGAATAAACATTTTCTGCTTGCATACAAGTATTTGTCGCCAATGAGGTTTACATAATGAATATCAGTCGAGAAGTTTAATCTTGCCATGAGGAAACTTATGGATAAATATATTGAGGAACATGTGGCCAAGAAACTCTGTTAGGTATTGGTTTTCCCAACAGAAGTTTGCTAGTCTAGGGCAGTCACGTCAAAAAACCTCTTCAAGGTTCGGTTAATCTGGGGCAATCAAGTCGAGATTCAATGAATCTCTCGAAGATCAATCAGACAGGGGCAAAGTTACTTCAAAGGCTCGTATTAAGACATGTCACTTTAATAACATGAAGAGTTATCCGCTCTAGAAGACAGTTAATCAAAATCACCTCTCCAAGGTTTGGAGTATTATGGCAGAATGTCACAGGATTCAGGTTGGCAGCCAACAAATGGCACCCTCAGGAGAGTTAAAAGCTTTTCAGTGAGGACGTTGATTTCTCCCCTAGCAGAATTTCAGTGAATATCTTTTTCTAGCAAGGCCTTGAAAGTTATATGCTTCCCCAAGCAACAACAAAATTATCTCTAGTAGACAAGGTCTCTTAATGAAATGTCCAACGTATGCAACGAGATGATGGTAACGAGTTGTTATACACTTCATTTCTTTGTTCATTCTCATCTCACCTCCTTCAAATGCATATTTTTCGGGTTTTTTCAGCATTATTAAATATCAAACTTTTCAATAAAGGTTGGTTTTTTAACTAATATTTTATTTCTTACAAATACCATCCCATTCCATGTTTTCTATACTTATGAATCATTGTATATTTGTAGCCTCCCTTTTATCCCTAATGTGACAGGAAAACATGTCTACATATACTCAAAAGTGTACCAACTTTTACAATATTTTATTTGTCTCTCTTACAATATTACACTTACCTATTGCAACTCTATCACCTACTTGCTATCATGATTATCTTTTACATCACCATTTACATCTTGGTTTTGTGTATGTTTTATTGTTTTTATAACTCACCAAATTTACTTCCGTGAAATTCAAAATGAAATTATAAGTTTTCCCACCTTTTTGCAACTACACCTAACATATCATGTTTAAACTTTCTTTTTTCAATTCCCATTTGAAATTTTGCGCCAAAACAACTGGTTCAGCCTTTCATGCACATGAACAAACCTCATATCACATTTTCATCCATTTATGCTTTATATATGCCTAAATCTCAACACCAATTACTTAAACATTCGTTTTTCCTTTGTTGCTGCAACACAATTATATAACATCTGCAATTCCACATATTTCGACAATGGAGTCACTTACGTTTGGTATCGAGGCCACACCTTCTTTTATTGCCCGACTAAGGAGGAGGCTAATTTTAAGAAATCAAAAAACTCATGTAACCTTTCTAAGATTGGTAATTTTACTGGTGTATCCATGCATACAAAGAATAATGATCAGCATTCAACACGTGGGGGGAGCATTCACACTTCAATGCGTGCATGAATGTTTAACACTTTACACACTCCAACATGTAATATCACAACAACATCACTTTATGTAGCTGATGCCAATACCTCAGCAGAACATGATAGCATGAACCCAAATATTTCTGATGCTTCAATTGCTAGAAAAGGAAGGAGGCAAATATTAATAAATTTGACACATTCACGTAACCAATCTAACAAGAAAAATAAGGAGGGCATTAGGGGATCATATTTAATATACACGATATAATGCATAAATATAAATGGTGTACAACATAATATTTTAGTACGACTTTAAAAACACATGAAAGAGAAATATAGAATTAATAGAATAACATTTATAAACCAAAAAGTGCATTGGGATCCATAAGTTAAGCAATATATGCACAAGCAGACATGTTATTCTAATTCATTTACAAACATATGATACACATGTCAAACATATTTGTGTCAATAATGCTTGAATCGGTCAAATCGTCTGCAGGTACATAAACTGCTTGAATAGAAGTTATTGACCCTTCTTTGGTAGAAGTAATTCTTTCTTGTAAAGTACCCATTTCAGTACCCAGGGTCGGTTGATAACCCACAGCGGAAGGCATTCGGCCCAATAAGGCCGATACTTCGGATCCGGCTTGGACAAAACGGAAGATAAGTTTCACCTTAAAGTTCATAAGATAGGAAGAAAAGATATTTTTTTGGAGGTCCCTAGCCTCATTGCCTAGCATTGAATAGATTTTAGTATTCACCTTATCAATATCTCATTATGGATTCCATTTGACGTCTAAATCCTTTGTCAGGCTATTGTTCTCTTAATTTTCTTTCTGGAGTAAGACATTGATTTATCAATTAAGATCAACTCTTTTAATTACATGATGGACTCCTATGAAAAAACATTGGCGCATGTGTAAACGAGGTGCTCTACCTAACTGACGCAACGACTGTTACAACATACATGCATAAAATGGAAAATTAAAATTATTGCTGAAGGGGTGTAATAGATTTACTCAAAAGTACGTTTGCAAATAGGATGTGTTTTGACATGAATAACATGCCATGATAGTGCTTGGGGAAATTAGATACAAAATATAACATAACAGTGTATGTAAAATAAAATATTCCAAGATAGTTAAATAATAATATAGATTCAACTATATCTTCTTCTCCAAATTGATAATCTTCTTAAGCTTCGTTGCGAATAATTCTCCATCACACAAGCTTATCAATGTAGTAGACTCACTTGAACAATCCAATATGGGTCTCTTTGCAGTGGGAGTAACTAGATCTGGGATATGCTTTGATGTAATTTCTAGATCTTGTAAAAGTGAAATTGAGAAAATTAATCAAGAATCTAGTAATAATAGAAAAAGACACAGAACGATAAATTAAAAACAACTTGTCATAAGTTAGAGAAATACCACAACAATTTTCCGTTCTTCAGCAACTTCATAGTCCGCCTCATCCACACTCTTTTTAATCTTAAAAACATATAAATGAAAATGAGAAACATAATGCAAACTATAAAAAACATTCTCGTCATACATCAAACTTATGAGATGAACTTACATGCAACAATTGTGGTGTTACATGTGTCTGAGATGTTGTGACCTTAATGTCAATTAATTATCACTTGAAAGTTGAATAACAAAATCATAAAATATTTGTTAGTATGAAGAATAAATACTCGAAATTCCTTCCATGGAGTCTTCAATTGTTTGATGAACGATTCATCCGTTACCATCATGATAACGGAGCAACTTTTCAATCTAGATTCCCATATGTATATCAATACTTTTAATTAAATAAAAAAAGTATATGGTGATATCTCATCCAAATATTTATTTATATAATATTTTATTTGATAAAAACATTTTATTCTAAATTAAGAAAATAATATTAATTGATTAAAAAAGTCAAAATAAAGTGAAAGTAGTATTCAAGAATTAATGAGTATTAATAATCACAATAGTTTTTTTTTTAAAATAAAATAAGATAGTCATTATGAGAATTAAATAAAGTCAAGATAATGCAAGACTTCTTAATTGCTGCAAGACACTTTATCAAAAGGAGTACATTCAAATGATGTCACGTGAGATAAACCTATATATAATTTGTAAATAATACGTAATAACAATAACAACGAATATTTTTTATATATGCTGAAATGATGTCACGTGACATAACCTATATATATAATAGTAACATTTTATTTTATATATTATATTTCACTTACTTATTTTCTTAGTGTTTCAAATAAGAAAAATTCGGCAACTTTAGTAGTGACTTTATCAAAATCAAATTCTAAAACCCTAATCCCAAAAATCCCTAACACACACAAATCACAATCAATCGACGCCATGAACGTCGATCACGATCAACCACCTCACACCACCGCCTCCGCCGCCGCCAAAGCACATCAAGCCTTACACACCCTAACAGCTGGCCCACTCTCCTCATCAGTCGCGAAACTCGCCGCTTCCTCACAGTGTCTTCCATCTGAGAGAGACTTCCTCTTCTACGGCAACTTCAACGAATTCAAGGTCCCTATGGATGAAATCGCGCGTGAATCACAGTCGATGTTGGAAGCAATCGGCGCCGCAGCTAATGCGGCGTTTCCGTCTGACATAGACGATGGATATGACTGGCTTGTGAACGTGAACGACGATGTTTTGGAGCGGTATGATGTGTCGGCGGACGAGTTTCGAAAGATTCGGGAGGAGGAGGAAAAGACTGGGCGTGTGAATGAGGCTATGATGGTGGATGACGGATTTGAGTTGGTTTGTGGAAAGAAGAAGAAAGGTGGGAAAGGGAAGGTTGTGGCGGAGGATTCCAAGATTCCGCTGGTGGATCTTGTTAAGATGGCGATGAAGGATAAGAGGACGATGGGACCTAAGGCGAAGGTGCCATTTCATATACCGACGATTCCGAGGCCACAAGATGAGTTTAGTATAATTGTTAATAATGCTAACGTGCCCTTTGAGCATGTTTGGTTGCAGAGGAGTGAGAATGGACAGAAGTTCATTCATCCATTGGTTAGTTCATTCACTCTCTTTTGATTCTTGATATTACTAGTGTTTGGAAGAATATGAATATAAAAACACATCGGTATTTGCTGGAGAAACCATAATGTCGATAGTTGATGATACCCTTTAATTCTTGTGATACTTGCATGCTCTTTAGGGGTGTAGGTTTGATGAGCATGATTGAATTTGAAAGTATTTTGATGCATGATAGACTTAATTCATTTGCGAGGGTTAATGTCTGTCATTTAAATCTTGCTAAAAACAGCTCTTGGTTGTCTCATCTTATTTTATCATATCTTAGAAATTAGAAGTCTACAGTCCTGTTTCTTTGGCATTTGGTAGAAATAACTTTTGATTGTCTGACCTTGTATCCCATATGTGAATTGGGTGATATATATTTGTCATCTTTTCTGTTTGTTTGTTGTATCAATTAATTACTAATTTATTATTCCAGGAAAAGCTCTCTGTTTTGGAATTTGTTGATAAAGATCTTGGGAATATGGTGCCACAAAAACCTGCCTCATTAGAAAGCACCCCTTTCAAGCTTGTAGAGGAAGTCAAAGATTTGAAGGAGATGGCTACTAAGCTACGTTCTGTTAATGAGTTTGCGGTAAAATTTGATAACTATTTGTGAACTTTTATGAAAGAATTTTGTTCATGATAAATTATACAACTAGGTTATTTCATTTGATATGTGTTACTGAGCCTATGATAAGTTATTGATATTTCCTTAGTAACAATCTTAATCTTTAGTAGCATAACTCGTCCATTTTTGGCAGCTAGGTACATTAACTTAATTGTATCCCCTTTTCGGATTAGAGAGAAAATTCTAATAATATTTCAATTTTTTTTTGCTTATTGAACAGTTCTTGACACAAACTTTAATAAATGTGATCTTTTGGATATCAAGTGTAAATTGAATGAAGGGCTGCACTGTCATTCCCATTTTTTGTCTGAAAGACTTTGGTTATTTACTTTGTTCATCCCTTGACATTACATGGGCCTACTTGTACCTAAATGTATGGAGTTTATTGGGATGAAATTTGACATAGGTATCTCCTTAACTGTTATTGAAATGCTCGGTATCTTGTTGAGTTGAACATGCTTTAATATGGGACTGGTAAAGAGCATGCATTAGTTACATTATCAACTGGGGAATTTCATTTTGTTCTAGTGTGCATATTTTATATTGAGTGTCTGAAGAGGGGTGCTATCTGAAATAGATGGTTTTTAAGAAAAAAAATACTAGTTGGTTAGTTTTACTTTTTTAGGTTTTTGAAAAAATCTAATTATCACAATTCTTTGTAAAAAAAAATTGAAAACCACCTTTTTATTAAAACAAGCACAATAAAGGGCCCTTGAGCTTTTTCCTTTCAAGCTTATTGGAATAGTATCTTACATGAAAGTTGTTCAATATATATGAAGTCATTCTTGAGCCTTCATCTTAAACTTAAGCAGAGGTGTTAGTGATAAAGGTGTGCTGTCATTGTTCCTTTTCCCAATGTTTTACTATGGACCATTGAGTTGTTAACAAAGAGTCATTCTAATATTCTTAACTTGTAGTTTAAGAGTATGATTACTGCAGTTTGTGTTTATGCTTTTGTTGTGATCATAATTTGTGTTCGTTGCAGAGTTCTTCTGCTGATTATGAGGCTATTTTAGTATATCCAGTTTATTTTATTTTTGTAATCCAGATGATATGGTTCTTACATTTTTTATTTAACTTTGCATGCTGTCTGTTATTGATTGTGGAACTAATAGTACCATTCTTGTAGCCTGCTTCCCTTATCCATCTTTATTGCATTCTTCTGAATTCTTTTATTTGCTCGATTGTTGAAATATTTAGGTTGATTTGGAACATAATCAATATCGGTCTTTCCAAGGTTTGACTTGCCTCATGCAAATCTCAACAAGGGCTGAAGATTTCGTTGTCGATACCTTGAAACTTCGCGTTCATATTGGGCCCCATCTAAGGGAAATTTTCAAGGACTCTTCCAAGAGGAAGGTTAGTGGTACAGGATTGCCTTTTCTTTTAACGCAACATATGTTCCTTATTCTGTTAACTGTATTTATGTTTAAACAGGTTATGCATGGCGCGGATAAAGATATTTTGTGGCTTCAAAGGGACTTTGGCATTTATGTTTGTAATTTGTTTGACACTGGCCAGGTTTGATTAAAAAACTGACTGTTCAACATTGACATTATTTCGCAAGTTACTTACCATGGAAGCAAAATTGTATAATATGATTATTCTTTGTGCAAAAAAGTTTCTTTGCTTGGTTGATGGTCTCTGGATTTTAGTGAATAGCTGTATATGTATTTAAAGTGAAAATGAAATGGTTTGTTGTGCATCAAGAAAAATGGTGAAATAAGCTTTTGAAGCTCTTCCTTTGATTTTTTTATCATGCAAGAGTAAGAGTAACCTATTTTAATTGCTTTGTTTAGGCTTCAAAGGTGTTAAAATTGGAGAGAAATAGTTTGGAGTATCTTCTGCACCATTTCTGTGAGGTTTCAGCAAACAAAGAGTATGTTATCTTTATTTTAGGTTGAAAATTTCAAATTAGCCTTTGCATATAATATTTTCTTTACCTACATTCTGAAAGGCTTACAAATAAATTGATTGCAGGTATCAAAATGCTGAGTGGAGATTGCGCCCTATTCCTGATGAGATGCTAAGGTACAGTTGTGTTTTGAGCTTACAACTTTGATTTTCCCTTGATTCATTTTTTTTGCTTTTTTCTTGTCTTCTACTCCCTCCTTCCCACGATGAGTGACCCAGTTGACCATTTCACACCAATTAAGAAAAATGTATAAATGAAACAGAGAGAATAATGCTTTTATTAAAGGTACCCCTTATCAAGTATTGGAAATGATGAAAACAATATTAATTAGAGTGTAAAATTGGAAAAAGAAATTAATATTGCATTGGGAATTGAAAATGATCATTCATTTTGGGGCACTTTTATTTTACAAATGGGCCACTGATTGTGGGACGGAAGGAGTATTCTTTTATCACTGCTAAATTTTATGCTTGGTTTGAAAAAATTATACACTAAATAAGTTCAAATAATGAATAATTCAGCTTTGTGGCCCTGCTCATTAATCTCGAAATCTTTAGAATCTGTCATTTAGCTTGATAGTTACTGGTATCCTGTCATGGGTGAACTATTTGCTACGATGATACAATCTAATGATATTTGAAATGTTGTTTTGTTAATAGATATGCCAGAGAAGATACACACTATCTGCTGTATATATATGATTCAATGAGGATTAACTTAGCTTCCTTGCCAAAGGCACCTGAAAGTTCTGATTCTCCTCTGGTGGAGGTAACTATTTACTAGCCCCGAGAAATTTATGCTAAATCACATTATGTGTGCCATCATAATTTATTTGGTTTAATATTACTTGAATGTCTTTTAGAGCAAATAAACTTATCCCAACTGGTTTTAAATTTGTTACTGTTTGTTTCTTTCTATCTAAGACCTGCCGATTAATGTTTGCTGCAAGTTCTGCATAATTATACTTTTTCTTGTGTTTATTCATTTGGTGAAGTGCATGTTCGGAAAAGTTTTTATCAGGGAATTTTAAATTTTCTCTCCCCCCAAACATGCACCCCTGTCGTTTTTAGTTGCTTTAAAATTCAATATTTTGTTATTTAGATGCCAAGTTGAGATTAAGCTAGTTAAGCATGTGATCTATTGATCCTATACACAAACATAGGATGCTTCATTGTTCCCTTGGCGCTATTTGTCTCAATTGTCTGAACTAAGCATCTTGTAATTATGCTGTTGTTGATTAGCCTGACCTATTCTTGTTCTACAAATTATTTTTGACAATACATCATGACTGAATGGCTGACTTAATGACCTTTTTAATCCCGCTCTCATCGTCTGGTATTTCCTGCCACCAACAGGTTTATAAGCGCAGTTATGATGTCTGCATGCAGTTATATGAAAAAGAACTTCTGACAGAAAATTCCTACCTTCATATATATGGGTTTGTCTCCTTTCCAATTGTCATTCTTTTACTAATTTAGGATTGTGTATAATTCAAAGTTTTCCAAGCTTTATGTGTTTATAGTTCCACTTTGCATAAAATGTGCGCCAAGCAATGTGAAACAAAACTGAATAACTGTTTTTGTGCAGGTTGCAAGGTGCTGGTTTCAATGCTCAACAGCTTGCCATTGTTTCAGTACGTTTCTGTTTGATGTCTTTTTTTAGTACTGATCTTGAATAACTTGCATGGGGAACAAAAGCTTGTCCGATTTTTACTTATCCAACACAATTTATATGGTGCCTATGGAAAATGGTTCCCCACTAAACAATCCTGTGAGATAAATATTGGTACATGGAAATTTGAAGTATTTTGATCAACTCTGATAATAGTTGAGTTCTGTTTTTAGTTTAAAAATCAAATTAGATAACCGAATCCGCGATTTCCTTGTGAATCTGAATTCCACATAATTGTGGTAACTGATTTCCAATCTTCTACCTCATGATTTTTTTGTACATTAACCTCTTCTGGTAACTTTCTTTTTCGTATAAAAGGCATGCTTTGCTTTTCATTAAGCTATATCTATGGCGTCTAATTTTACTGCCTTCATTACTGTGATTAATCTACTACCTCATGTTTTTTTTTTTTTGTAAATTAATCTCTTCTGATAACTTTCTTTATCCTTTAAAAGGCATTTTTTGCTCTTAATTGAGCTATATCTACTTTGGCTATTTTTACCGCCTTCATTACTGTGTATTGTGAATTGTGATTAATCTACTAACTCATGATTTTTTGTAAATTAATCTCTTCTGGTAGCTTTCTGTAATCTGTATAGTATAAAAGGCATGTCTTGCTCTTAATTAAGCTATATCAATTGCTTCTATTTTTACTGCCTCATTACTGTGATTATCACCTTTGCTCCAGTTGCTTTAATAATAGCAATGTAGCTTCTAACTAATTTTCTATCAACTGATTGCAACTTTGCACTTCTAGTTTTGGAATACTTTTCTTGTTGAATTAAGCATGGTTTCTATCACGAAACAGTTTTGGCTGGCCTTCCAAATATGCCTGTCCTATCTGCCATCAGATTTTTTGTTGTTGTTTTATACATTATTTTCCCATTACATTATTCCAAAACTAACCAAAATAACATCCAAGACCGAAAAAATTGATACACTGTCAGGTTTTATGACACAAGCCCAACCCAACTTCTAAAACTAAAAGAATCTGATATGATGTATTATTATATACTGTATTCACTTTGGATTCCCTTATTCTCAATTTTCAACTTCCATCATAGCTCACATGCTCTATTCAATTCTCAATTGCAGGGGCTGTGTGAATGGCGGGACATTGTTGCTCGTGCAGAGGATGAGAGTACAGGATACATATTGCCAAATAAATCTGTTCTTGAAATCGGTAATTGAAACTTCTGTATCATTTGTTTAAATGTTTCAGTATAGATGTATGATACATGTCAGCTTACTTTGTTCTACTCATTTAAAAGCTAAGCAGATGCCTGTCACTACAAGCAAGCTACGGCGGTTGCTGAAGTCAAAGCACCCATATGTTGAACACAATCTTGATACTGTTGTTAGCATCATTAGGCACTCAATTCAGAATGCTGATGCTTTTGAAGCAACTGCTCAACAATTGAAAGAAGGACAAGCCACCACTGTGAGTAGTATTTTCAACAATCATTATTCTGGAATTATTGAGCAGGCGTTAATTGCTGTTTTGAGCCTTCACTTGCATGTATTTATAATTCAGCATCAGTAGTCTTGGTTTGATTACAAATGATTATTATGATTCATGAACACATTCACATGCTATTGATGTAGGAACTTATTGTTTCTTATTTGCACAAGTTCTACTATTATTTGTTCAATTTTTTTATGCAATGTCATATAAAAAGAATAACTATTGGTTAGCATTAGCTTTTATACTGTTGATGTGTGTTGCTTCTATGAGATTTCTGTTTGGATGGTTGGTCCTATAATGGAACTGAAAATATGTCAAACATAGTTGTAGAGAGAGAATGGTCCAGCACATTAAGCTTTTGTAAAGCGAAATTACCTCCATATGCCCTTTATCTTCAGATGAAAAATTCCCGACTGGCTCCTCTTTTAATATATATCTGGGAATCTTGGTTTAGTATCTGAATAAATGTCCAAAAGCTTCCAGAAACTGTGGCTTGTTACATTACAGCTAACAGATGTATGAGACAATAATGGTGTGATGATTTAGTTTATCAACAAGTCTTGTGTATAGTCTATGAATTAGGGTATATGATTAATGGCTCCACTAGTCATTTTTATGTACAGATCTCGTATGAATGACCGCAATCCAAAAGTTGGGGAAAAAGTGATAATTACTCCAACTTGAGAATTCTAACCAACCAATTGTGTAGTTATTTTAAATTTTCTATGATCGGTTTTGTTGGAATTAATGCTCAACTGATAAATGCTCAAAAACAGATTCCTGCTTTGATTTTTAACTTCATTAGCTTTAATTTCTGATTTTTGTTTGTTGATTAAGTTATATGAAAATCACTATACAGGCATCGGACACAGTAGCTGTTACAGATCAAACTGAAGATCCTGTGAAGGTTGGAATTGCAATTAATAGAAATTCTGGAGTTGAAGTTGTCACTATCATTTAATCATTTAATATAATCTGAGAAGTCACACTTTTTCTTTTGACCCTAAACAGGAATCTTTTCAGCATCAAGATACCGAGGTACAAATAAAATTGAAGCCCAATAATCTCACATCTGAGCTCCCAAGGGAAAGCCTCACTATTTCAGAGCAGACTAGGGATGCAAATGTTGATGCAATCTCTACATTGAAGGTTGCAATTCTTTTTTACTTATTTCAATGTTTTGCCTCAGCAAGGAGCGGCAATCTAATAGTCTATTTGGTTGATAGGAAATTGGAGCAACTGTTCAGGTGCTTAAAAAGCCTGGCGGTGCTTTCGGGGCACTTCTGGGGAGCTCCACTTCAAAGAGGAAGCTTGGTCTTGATAAAAAGGTGCACTTTCTTTTCTTCAGAAACACTTTGAAGGATGTTTTTTACATAACCATGTAAACATCATGTAACTCACATTTCTGTATGTAGCTGCCATTAGTTTTTAGCCATTTGTATGTTCTAACCGAATTGATGACTTATTTTTACGCTGCATTTCCTGGATTTTCTTAGGGCAAAGAAGATATCAAGCTAGAGCAAATTAGATCATCAGTCACTCTTCCTTTCCATTCATTTTTGGGTAGCAGTCAGACCTCAAAACCTGTAGTAGAAACTCATAGTGTTGCACCAGAGCAACAAAAACCTGTTTCTGATCCAGTTTCCACCTCCGTGCCAGAAGAGATCATAATGCTGGACACTGGTACAGGTGCAGAGGAGGATATAGAGCAGGATAATAATTTAGAAAACTCCAATGAACACACGGAGAAAAATTCTAGTGCCTCATCTTCGGATGAGGACGAGCCAAGGTCTCTCTCGGAACTGTCATCAAACTTTCAAAAGTGCTTTCAGGCAAACAATCAACATAACAAAACCAGAAAGCCAAAGAAAACTGAACAAGCTAGTGGCTTATTGCAGCTGACACCATTTGACTACGAAGCAGCAATGAACCATGTTAAGTTTGGAGAAAGAAAGAAAGACCCATCCACCCAGGACTGTGACAATCGTGTGGAAAAAGAGGGCTCTGGTGGCAAGAAGAAGCGTTCGACAATAGGAGAGGCACAACCGAGTGAGCCTAAACAATTTCAACAAGGTAGACGGCGTCAAGCATTTCCTGCTTCTGGGAATCGCAGTGCAACGTTCCGATGAGACAATTGAATGAGATGCTATGTACAAATTTAATAGGAAAGCCAAATGTTGTACTTAGCATAATATTCATTCTAGTATAGTTGCTTATATGAAAGATGGAAAAAATGCAGAAGCTAACAAATGTATAAGCTATCTCAATTGTAACGTAGCAGTTTTGAAAAATTCAATTTTATTCTTCATTTGAGTTTATATTTAAATTTTAAAACTAATTTTGATCCATATGATTTGCTCTTACCCTATTATATGTTATGTTTATATATTATTAAACGATTACGATTTTAACAATTATTAAGGCAACGCATTTTTAGTAATAGTTATTTCAACCATGAATTTAAATAAAAATAATGTATAACTTGATTTTGAACTATAGTTTTGATTAATATGGGGTGTAGCGTGCTGGCTGGCGTAGTAGTTGGTCGATAACAGAAGAGTCTTTTATTTTTCATTTGAGTTGGTAACCTCCAGAAGTGAGAATGTTTTGGATGAAACAGCCTTTGGAAGTGACAGCAAGAGATGAAATATTTCACCATCTATCTGTGGGTTTATATATTTAATTACTAACACTCAACTCTCCAAACTGGAGCATATGAAACAAATGTAACTTAATAACTGATTCTATGACCTCATCTGGATTTTGTAAAACGATATGGTAATTGATCTTTAGAACTGACAAACTTAAACGATATGGAATGATTTCATTTTGTTATGATAAAGTGATAATTCATTTTATTAAGTTTATTCCCTATATAAAAAAATGATTTGAGGTAATATGTAATGTGACTTGATTATCATATATTAATGTCATTGATCTTGGTTCTTTAAATTGTAACTCTTTGAATAACTATTTTAATCAAATGAATTCATGTTTACTTTATTTTCTGATTTAGTGTTGGATTTTGCAATTACATTTTGTTTCTTTTTTTAAACCTTTTTAAGATATCACTTTTTTTCTTCTTCAATAAGTACACAACATTTAGAAGTGAATCGTCTATTAATTAACGAGGTTATCCAATCAAAATATAAGTAACCAATTATCTCAATATGTCCTCTACTTTTATAAATGAAATCATTTTCTAGAACATTTTTTTGATGTATTTTAATACATAAATTATACATAAGATTTTGGTGAATAACTATCAAGAAGAGAATCTATCCTGCAATAATCGGCAGAAAAAGATCAAGATCTTAGACGGAGTTCAACTATTCTAAATAAAAGAGAGAATATAATTCTGAAACGAAAGTGGTGCCATTGAAAAACTCAAACTTCTTCACTGGATGAGGTAAGTGGATGCCATTGAAAAAGTACCGTCCCTAAAACGTTTTTAAAACCAATTATCTCTATTCAGGATAATGATAATATATCTAAGTACGACATGAAACTCCTCAAGAGCGGGCAACTCTCTAAGGAAGAAGGGTCTTCTCCATCTAAAGTCTAAAGTCAAGATCCCATTGATAACCTCTCTTATCTCACCCACCAACCCTTATGACAAGAGAGATTTGAAGAATAAACCATGATACTTAGACTTTAAGGGGATGCGCCCTAACCAAAGATCTTCCCAAAATGAAGTTTGAAGATACAACCCCGCTTTTCTAGCAATGCCATTGGAAAACCAATTAGAGGTCCCTTCGTCTTTTGTCTCAAGGAGAGAAATCTCTCTCCATCAGGACGAAGAAGAACGAAAACCCCTAACCCTACCTCCAATATGAAAGGAGAAGAGATATCTCCATATCTAGTTATCAAAATATCTCTCCAAAGCCTTAAATCTCGTCCAAGCAACCTTCATCCCCACTTCGCCAGAATAGCAGAATTAACTAACTAAAGATCCCTCACACTTAACTCTTTATGTTTTTAGGCTTACAACCATCATCCCAATTCATCCAAGGAATCTTAGGCACACTCTTCACACCCCAAAGGAATCTTCTTTGTAAAGCCACAATCTTCTTCCAAACTATTACAAGTATTTTAAAAAAGGACAAGAAAAAGATATGAATATCATTAAGTACGAAATAAAGGAGAACAACTTTACACCATAAGCTCACATATTTATGCTTCTAAGAGTTCAGTCTTTTATCTAACAAAGTAAACAAAGGATCCCAAGTAGACTCAAGACGAGGGTTAGCCCCTACTGGCAGCCCAAGATACTTGAAAGGAAGAGAAACTATCTCACAATGGAGAAAGTCTTCGGCTGAAGTTAGAAAGAGATGAAGGTAAGACACTATCAATCCAAATTCCCAACTCTAAACTCATAGTACATACCAAACTCCTGGTCCCACACAACAAAACCACTAAGCCCTATCGATAAGGTCATCTCCATTAAAACCTAAAATTGAATCTATATGATCTTCATCTCCATTTTCACTACAAGCTTTTGAGTCCAACCCCCTCAAAGACTTGCTTTTAGACTTACTCTCCTCTTCACAAGGAACTAAATTCTATTCAAGGATATACACATTAGGCTTATCTATAGAGATATTTTATCATTTATAGGAGGTTCTATATTATAGACCATTTTTACCCTCTCTTTATCAAGATGGAAAGCTTCCTTAGATCTCAGGTCTACTTCCACCACTTTACCAAACAAACTCGCAATACTAAAAAATATTTCATGAGTCCAAACATGTACAGGTAAGCCAAAGAAAGTGAGCTAAACCTCCTTCTTAAGAGGAAAAAGAAGGTGACCACACAAAAAACAGGTTCCAGAAAAGCATTTTTAAACTTTTTAAATCTCCCTGATCCTTTTCCACAATTGAGCTTAAGAGGACATAATCTCCTCATAGATTTGAGATCTTGATATGAGAGAAGCTAATAATAACAAGATTTTTGCAAACAGAATTAAAGTTCACTCACTACTACGAAAAACTCATATCACAACGGTTGGAAAAAGGATATCATCATCCAGGTCCAATCATTGTGACGTAAGATGTGATTGTATGTATGATAATTTTAACCATGGGCGTGCGACCGTGATTGTATCCATGTAGCGCGCTACCTATCACAAAGATTACTTTAAACAACCGTTGTGGTATATTAAAATATAATATATTTAATAACGACTATTCTAGACAACTATTGTTGTATATAGCCCCGAGTTTATTATAAATTATGTGGAATGCTTATTTCACCAATGCTCACTAAACACACAACCTTCCAATATGCACTAGAACATTATAATATGACAAATTAAATTATATTATAAGAATAAGTACACGTTCAATGCTTGACAAAGATTCTTCAAGTCATTATCAGTATTTTATTCTTTGACAGTAAGAACTTGATTTAATGATCCTAGTTTTTCAACAACTTCTGTCTTAAACTCTAACTCTTTTTGCAAAATATTATTTACTTTGCAAACGAAATTAGAGGTGGAGAGAGGGGTGGTTGAAGATTTACAATCACTAAACCAAGTTCTAACGGTCAAAGAACAACATGCAGTTAACAGTGTGAAGAATACTTGTCAAGAATTGAACGTGTATTTATTTTCTAATACAACTTCATCTATCATATCATAATTTTCTAATGTAGTTTGAGAAGTTATATATTCGGTAAGGGATTGGAAAAAAACTCAAACCACATAATATTTAATAAACTCATATTTCAAACAGACATTAACAACATTTATCAACAACAAACAATAACCAACAAACACGATACAACAAACATATCAAGGCATAAAAATACTTCAAAAACATACCACACATGTCAAGTCCCATGATGACGTGTCAACAATCAAACAAGGAGGAAGATAAATTTAGACCATCAAACTTATGTATATTTTGAATGGATGTTATTCTGGATCTTTGACACAAGTTTGACGGGCTAAATTTATCTTCGTCCTCTTTATTGCAATAAGCATCCATACCTACAAGACGAAAAAGAAGAAAGTTCAAACATCATGAAACAAGCTATTGAAACAGATTTTGATAAAAAAAACTACAGTGAAAACGAACCTGTATATACCCATTGGCTAAGATTTGTTGTTATGGTTTTATTTTGTGGTTTCCATATGAGAGACACGAGTGACAGAGTTGTTAGAGTTTCGTTTTGAGAGACGAGTGAAAAAGTTGTTAGGGTTTTGTTTTGAGAGAGACAACTGTTATGTACTGAAGCGATAAATAATTTCGCTTATATATATATATATATATATATATATATATATATATATATATATATATATATATATATATATATATATATATATATATATATATATATATATATATATATATATATATATATATATATATATATATATATATATATATATAAAACATGTTTCATCACGATTGGAAATAAAAACCGTGGTGATATACATGGTCAATAACATTTTTTATCACGAGAAATGGATAATTGTTGGTGATGGAATTCAAACCATTTCACTTTGTGTACTTTTCACTATAATTTTTATTTCTAACCGTTGTGACATGTCATCTAGTAAATAAAAAAAATATGAGCCTAAAATTAATCTATTACCACGGTTAACACTATGACAGTCGTAATATTGGTGTTACGAAAGACTTATTTTGTAGTAGTGACTGTGTGTTTCAAAATACCTACTAGACAAGGATATTAGAATATTTAAGTCACAATTATAATATTACATATGATAGGGTCATTATGTAATAGTCAAAGTTGTAGTGGTCTAATTAATAGTAAGTTTGTGGCTAAAAGCATAAAGATCATGAAATTTAAGATTAATGTGTAGATACCATAAGTCAATATCTAATTTAATGAGGGGTCAAATTAGAATATTGAATACTGAGAAATAACCCTAAAGTTATTTATAAGGGTTATAGTCCCCATTTGTAGACAATACAAAATGGCTTATAAAAAATGCTCTCTTCATCCCCATCAGAGGAGAATCAAAGAGTCATCGAGGAACTCTGTATCCCATGAGTTATCAATTTATAGGAATAACTTCAGAGTTTCTTTTCTTAATTTCTATATGATAGAAATCATAAGGTTATGAACATATATAACAATTGGTTTCAGAGCCACCCAT